TGTAGATTCAAGTTTGTTCAAATCATGACCCCTGGGACTAGGGTGGGGCCAAAATGGCCGACCAAAGTTTTACATAGGAATATATAGAAAAATTCTTTGAAAATCATCTTCTCAAGAACCACTGGGCCAGGAAAGATGAAACTCATGTGGAATCATCCTCAGGTAGTGTAGATTCAAGTTTGTTCAAATCATGACCCCTGGGGCTAGGGTGGGGCCAAAATGGCCGACCAAAGTTTTACATAGGAATATATAGAAACATTCTTTGAAAATCTTCTTCTCAAGAACCACTGGGCCAGGAAAGATGAAACTCATGTGGAATCATCCTCAAGTAGTGTAGATTCAAGTTTGTTTAAATCATGACCCCTGGGGCTAGGATGGGGCCAAAATGGCTGACCAAAGTTTTATATAGGAATATATAGGAAAAACTTTAAAAATCTTCTTCTCAATAACCTTTGGGCCAGGAAAGACGAAACTTATGTGGAATCATCCTCAGGTAGTGTAGATTCAAGCTTGTTCAAATCATGACCTCTGGGGCTAGTTTTGGGCCAAAAATGGCTGACCAAAGTTGTACATAAGGATATATAGGGAAACCTTTTAAAATCTTCTTTTCAAGTACTTCCAAGCCATGATTAGTGATATTTTTCTATTTATATGGAATCATCCTCAGGTAGTGTAGATTCTACATTGTTCAAATCATGACACCCAGGAGGGTTAAAATTCAAGCCCCCTCCCCTCCAGTAAACTTTCAGTTTTTATCTGATATGTGCTTTTTCCTAGTAGATGTGCTCAGGTGAGCGATGTGGCCCTTGGGCCTCTTGTTAGAAATTGTCAAGTAAAAGTTAACAAGGGAAAAGTAATAAGAAATTCTTACTGACTTTGACAATTAACATTGCATATAAGCAGAATTTTTAGCGAGGATTTAATTTTGGCATTATTAGCAAGGGTGCTGAGATCGCTAAAATTGAATATCGCTAAAACTTAATTGCATTTTATTTGTAATGGCCTCTTTAGTGAGCTTCTTAATATTGCTAAAATAAATTCTCTCTAAAAATTAAATACCCATTTTTAAGGACAATTTGCTAAATTTCTTTCTAGCTAAAATTTCCACTTATACAGTAGTGTGTGAGATATGGATGGTAAAAAAATATATACATGTATATATACTAAATGTTAACTGTTTATGGAACCAATCAAATCTGTTGTATATATGAGTTTGAGAGCTTCAAAGTGATAGAACATTAATACACTGTAATATGGACATTTTTTATTTGGAAAAAAAAAACATCAAGAGTAATACAATAATTATGTACACAGACATTTATTCTGGTATATTTTCACTTAGTTTCTATAGGGAGGAATCAACCTTTAAAGCCAGAGAAACCCAAGTGGAAGAGTGAGGTCCCCTTGACTGAGGGTCAATTGAGGTCAAAGCGGGATGAGTTCTGGGACACGGCCCCTGCCTTTGAGGGACGGAAGGAGATCTGGGATGCACTAAAAGCTGCAGCGTATGCTCTAGAAACTGGCGATCATTCCCTGGCACAAGCCATCATAGATGGAGCTAACATATCACTCCCTCATGGTAATGTCATAGGGGGATATTGATAAACTGTTCATGTAGACCTTTTGTTGTATGTACTTAACTTCTCAACAACAAAAAAATGATCTAGTAAAGATTAGAAGTCATCCTCCCCTCCCCAAGTTAGACACTTCATGTACAGTTTATATGGGAATGTCAGTTGTGATGCTAAGCTCATGCTAAAGAAAATTCAGCAACTGCGAAAGTACAAACATATAACCACACAATCATTCCCCTCTGATCAAAATCTTAAAAGCACAGCATCCTTCTAGCATTAGCCAAATCCTTCAATGATAATGTAAGTCAGAACATAAACAAACAACATGGCTGTAATCTGTCTATCATTTTACAGGAACACTGATGGACAGTTACGATGAATTAGGGAGCCGTTACCAGCTCCCTGTTTATGTTCTGAGTGCCCCTACAAACTTAATAGAGGATATAAGTGAAAGTGAGGCTGGAGTGGACTCAGAGAACCAGTCGCCGGGACTGGAAATTCCCATCAAGTTCCGAATCTCCACTTCAAATAAAGACCTCAAGCTTTATGTAAGGACCACAGACACAGTGCTGAAACTCAAAAAACGTATCTGTGATGAGATGGGCATTGAGCCCCGTCTTCAGCGCTGGTTCTTTGCCGGGCGACTATTGGGCGATAAACTGAGAGTGGAGGATGCCAGGATTCCAAAATCGTACGTCGTTCAGGTGATAGTGGCGCCAGAGGCTGGGGACGGAACTACCTAATTCATGTCTTTCCGTTTTTTTTTTATTTTGTTCTGTTTTGACTTGAGAATTTTTTTATGCTTTATGTAATCATGAAATTTCTTTGTTCTCATGTTTTATTAGGTATTTGATTTTTTTCTTTCCTTACGATACAGAACAAATGAAGTTTTTATATGAGATATTTGATGTGTTTTTTTCATTTCATCTAAAATAATTTTTTGGAAATCAATCATGTTTAGAATTTTCTTTTTAAAATGTTTGGCATTGATTAGCAACAATTATCATTATTAATTTTTTTTATGAAATTGAGGTTCAGCAGCCCTGTGAAAAGGGAGATCAATCACTGGAATAAATGTTTTTTGCCTTATTATAATATTAAATTTTAGGAGGAAATTTTGCACAACATGATATTGAAAACATTTCGATTCTTTTTAAAAATCATTATCATTTCATTGTAAAATGAAATTTTGTATGAGTGAACAAAGGGATAATTATTTTTGATATTTTGTTGCTTCTTAACATGAGTTAAGTATAAATTTAAAATTCATCTGTTTTTGCTCTCAATCAAAGAAATGGGATGAATAGCAGATTTTTAATCATATCTTTGGTAGAAAAGGTCTCCTAGCATTTTCTTACAAGTACATAAACATCAAAAGCATTATTCATGATAATTAGCTGGTGATCATTAATTTTCCATTCATCAGGTCAAAATCACATTGTTCTGCCATATCCTCTTAAAAAGTTTTTATAAATACAAATTTTAATGATTTATTCTTCATTTTCAACATTTTTTTATACACAAGATGGGCATAGTCATGTGATAACCCCAATTATTTTTAAGGCCCATGGTCAACACCCCTCTTTATTGAAATGTTGTTCAGTCAGCATCTAGGGAACTATGTTAGCAATCTTCATATTAAGATAGACTATTAAAATGTTATTGGTTTATTGTATCAGAAGGATAGAGAAAAGGTGCATGTTCTTTTCCTCCAAACTCTCCAATTTTGGGATTGGAGAATTTCATGTTCTAAAAGACCATTAAATATTAAATTTTGTAAATCTGCTTCAACCTTTAGTCAAAAACACATTTTGGCTGTTTTCATTGTCCATTCTTATTCTTTTAATCATATTAAAAAAATTATTGAATAAGGAAAATTTACGCAAAATATTTCTCCAGATAGAATTTTGTTTACAAAGACCTGTTTTAGATTTGAACCCATAGTATTTAGGAGAAATGTATGTTCTGTTTTTTTGATTTCTGTCAGATTTCCCCCAAATTGCAATTCATTTGATATACATTAAAAGAAAAATGCTTTTATATGCATGCATTGGAGAACAGAAATATAATTGATGTAAGTATGTTATTGAAAGGTTATAGAAAAATGTACAATGTTTGTTTATGGAGGGAAATTTTGTTCATGAGATTAAATTGTTTTTTATCACTTCATCTCTTGTTTAGTCACAAATCATATACATGTGCATTTACAAAAAATTATTTAGTATGAGTGTTTTTGAGATCATTTTTATCATATTTACATGTAAATTTCAAAATGTTCATCAGAAATGTATTTTTTATGTACCTAGATTCAAGATCATGTGATCAGTACAATATACAAGTTATAAATATTATAAAATTGCACTTACAAAAGGTGATATGCATTCCCTATACATGTAGTTTCAAAACGTATTAAGAACTTTTTATTCGTTATAGGGAATTATGTTTATAATTTGTTTTAATGTACACTTTTTGTCAGTGCAGTGCTAGCTTTACTTATTTATGGATATCATTTATATGAACTTTAAAGGCATTATAAAATAAAAAGCATTTTATTGTGAATTTCTAAAATGTGCACACTTTTGTACCTCTCTGTTGTGAAGTGTGCCTGTTCTTTATGTACGTGTGTCAAACACCATTCTTTTTTGTTTGAAACATTTACTTAAATTGTTATTAAAATCCCTGAAAATACTTCTATTTCTGTAGCTCAGCATGCAAGAAAATTACAAAATTAAGACCAAAATTTTATGAATATAAGGGTACCAATGTTTGTATTCAAAGAAAATACCGCAGCATAAACAACAGAATTGTGTAAAAGATGAGGAAAATGTCGTATTGTTAAAATAATTTCATATATTTTATAGATGGTTATCATTATGTTGTGTTCTTGAGTACATTTAGGCATTTTAAATATGTCGGAAAAACAAGCCCAACCTTGTCATTGTCTTATGAAGACGTTGTGATTCTCCCATTCAAACTTTACTACAATTCACATTATATACCTTTTCATGTGTTGTTACTTGAAAAATACTTTTCAAGTCTTGAAGTTTCTTTTATTGTCTTTGTTTTTCCATGATGAGAAATTGTCATGTCCCCCCATCCTTCTTTTACATCAGAAAAGTACAACATAGTTACTCTTTAGCATTCACAATTAAAATTCCACAAGTCCTTAGTCTATTTATAGCAAAGTGTAGGCCCAGTTTGATTTTTTGCATGTGCAATATTTGTTTCTAGAACTGTGGTACACAGTTATGTATACCAGTCACATTCAGATATGGCCTTGTGAATGCCTTTTTAAACACTTGAAATTAAATCTGACTAGATCCAGAAGGATTTTCTAATGTATTCAGAATAATGATTGTCAACACAATAAAACGTATTTAAAATTGTTGGTTTTTGTCTAGTTGACCCATTCCCCCTTTTCAGTGTACAAGAGTCATTCAGTTGTCCTATTGCCATCAGATTTCATATGTCATTATCCGTTCTGCATTAACATATATTTACATTTGCAAATATCTTTCTTAGATGAACCTATTGAAGAGAAAATACGTTCAGTTCTGTGTGAATTTCATTTGGGGGTCAGAGGTCATAGCGCGACCGGATCACAGAGCTATGTGATATTTTGACCAAACAACTTCTAGGTTATTGCGCGTCACTACATAGCAAAGCGTTGGACCGTTCGTGTAATAAATAAAGTTTAACTCGAAATGTATTCGTTTCAAATGTAAATATAAGTAATAAACAACAATGTTAAAAAGTTCACTGGGAAATGAACTTTTAGTTGGTACGTGCAGGGACCTATATACTAAGTTAGTATATAGGTCCCTGGTACGTGATCAAATCTACTGAGACGCCCTTCGGGCTTCACAGGATTTGATCACGTGACCAACTGAAAGTTCATTTCCAAGAGAACTTTTTTATCATTGTTGGTTATTTCTTAAATTTGAACATCTTCAACATTTCCTCAGAAACACCTTAACCAATCAAAACCAATTTTGAATTTTGGCATGTAGCATTTTCAGGTAAAGAAAAACAAAAAATGTAAATTTCATGATCCCCACCACTTTGAGACTCGAGGGGTAGGACTAACACTATAATTAATTTAGTCAATCTTTAAAAATCTTTTCTCTCGGACATCAAACTGTGAAATTATTGGTTGTTATTTGTTTTACGCTTTAATCATAAGCCCTTTTCCCAATTAAACCACTGTCACCTCACGCCGTAAACGTGTGAACAATGGTGAACGCAGCTTGGTGTAACCGCTGCATTTCATTTCCGGAAATATGCATAGCATTTCCGACATTTTTTAATTTCATTTCCGACATTTTTTGTTTTCATTTCCGACATAGTTTTGTTTTCATTTCCGGAATTTACCTGTGCGGCAATTCAATGTTTTCTAAGTAAAAGAAAATGGAATTTTAAGAGTATTTATAATTATTTATACCAAAATATTAATAAAAAAAACATTTAATTTAAAAAAAAAAACAATGTATGTGCTATACATATACATGAAGGATATGGAGATAACGAACAGTATTCAATCTCAAAGTCCATTAAACAATATACAAAATCAGAGCAGAGCAAACACGGACCTCCGAAACATCAGATGTGGGATCAGGTGCCATGGAGGAGTGAGCATCCCCTGCCGACCGGTCACACCCAAGGTGTGCTCGTTGTCATGATCAGAAAATAACGGAAAAAATCCGTCGTCAATACAGTGTATAAATAATGAACTAACAATTGGTATGAAAAATGTCAGTCAGCATTTGACTCAATGATAAATTGCATTTGCTGACAAGATCATTGTATCGACCATAGAACTTACGAAATATGATGACTTTAAACGAGACTGCTGATATTCTTGTTTCATCAACTTGCTTGTCAATAATTTACCTCGTTTAAGAAATTGTCCATATGTAAAACATGCTCTTGCGTATCGAATCAACTGAGATATATATACTCCGTATGCAGGTGATGAAGGTATATTGCTGCACAAATAAGGGAAGTTGACGATAGAAAAGTTAAAGTCATCACGTTTATCATATAGCTTGGTTGTTAGATTACCATTAGTGTCTTTTTCAAGTAAAATATCCAAATATGAAGCAGAAGTGTCGGACTCTGTGGTATCTTTTATCTCAAGCTCACCAGGATATGCATGTATCGTATCGACGTAGGAATGGAAATTATCATTATTAATTGACAATGCGTCGTCGATATATCTAAATGTCGAGTTGAAGGCCAAAGCAAGTGTTTTCTTCTTTTCACGCATAAGATTTTGCATAAATTCTGCTTCATATGAATATAAAAATAAGTCTGCTAATAACGGAGCGCAATTTGTACCCGTGGGAATTCCAATAGATTGTTGGAATACCTGGTCTCCAAAAACCACATTGATGTTGTCAGTCAGAAACTCAAGCATCTTCTTGATGTCAACTTCAGAGTACATGTACTTTTGTGTGCAACTAAGTCTAGGTAAAAGAGTTCAATTAGCATAAAACTTTTTCACCACATTTAATGTGCACTAAATTAAATGTCATTGACAGCATCAAACTTATGTCTAAGTCACCGAAATATTTACAAAATTGAATTTCAAAGATTTATTTATGATTTATTCCTTTAAATTTTTCATAAGTGAAGTTATCAAATCTGTTACTATAGGTACTACGTATGTATATGAAAAATGTCGGAAATGAAAACAAAAAAATGTCGGAAATGAAAAGTTGATAATTACCAAAAATTCAGGAAATAAAATGCAACCGGTGTGACAGGGCCTTAAAAAAAATGATGACCTTGTGGTCAGGGGTTCAGGTGTCGGGACAGGGTTCTATATTGATTATATGCATACTAGTCAAAATGCATAACTATGAAACGCCATAGCTGCCTTATGTGACTATTTTATATTATGCTGTGGTTATATATTTAATATTATGCTGTGGTTATTTTATATGAAGATGGTGCTCTTTTATATTATGCTGTGCTTATTCTATATAAAGATGGTGCTCCGTTATATTATGCTGTGGTTATTTTATATGAAGACGGTGCTGTTGTTATTTTATATGAAGATGGTGCTGTTGTTATTTTATATGAAGATGGTGCTGTATTATACTATGCTGTGGTTATTTTATGTGAAGATGATGCTGTATTATATTATGCTGTGGTTTTTTAATATGGAGGTGATGCTTTATTATATTGTGCCGTGGTTATTTCATGTGATGGTGTTTTTTTTCAAATACAGAGGATTTTTTAAGGATTTTTAAATGTAGATTTTGCCCTTACTAGGTGCCGGGCTCGGGTCACTCTTGATTTTAATCAATATCTACACTTTTCCTACCAGTTTCGGACATAATTTCGGGTGAAATTTACATTTAAAAATCCTTAAATAACGCCCTTCAATCGTCTACCAAATTGAACTTGTCATATAAAATATGCAGTAAACAAAAACTTCTTGATATTTAGCACTGCAAGTGATAGCAATGGAAGTGACGATTTTAAATATGTAGAATGTTGAGGCGTTCTGGAATGACAGAGACAACAAATCCCTCTAGATTTTCCGAAAATGGCAAATGTCGTACCTATGTACAGTAAAACGACATTTTTGAAACGTGTTAATCTTAGACACATGCACCTAGGAAAACATTAATACACAAAATACACCAACCTGAAACCAAGTGCATAACTGATGGAAAAAAAGAGGAATTAGCGATAGTCATAGTGTATTTGAATGATTTTAATTACATCAATTACTAGTACTAGTATTTGTTTTACATTCAACATTTCGAGATAATAGCTGATAAACTCAGTATTGAATTTAATCTTCAAAAAAATGAGGAATATCTTGACATGATATATGTATTTGAAAAAAAACCCACCATCACATGAAATAACCACAGCACAATATAATAAAGCACTACCTCCATATTAAAAAACCACAGCATAATATAATAGAGCACCATCTTAGTATAAAATAACCACAGCATAAAAGAGCACCATCTTCATATAAAATAAGCACAGCATAATATAATAGAGCACCATCTTCATATAAAATAACCACAGCATAATATAAAAGAGCACCATCTTCATATAATATAAGCACAGCATAATATAAAAGAGCACCATCTTCATATAAAATAACCACAGCATAATATAAAAGAGCACCATCTTCATATAAAATAACCACATCATAATATAAAATAGCCACATAAGGCAGCTATGGCGTTCCATACATAACCGTGTATTTCTTTGAAAATCTTCTCTACACTTGGGTATTTGATAAGCAAACAAACTATATCAGCATAGTTATGATTTGCAATGGTGCCTACTCTTTGGCTGTGAAATTTAGAGCTCCAAAATCAGAGGATGTGGTGTTATATCGGGGCGATAAACTTCAGTGGCTCTTTACCCAGGACTATGCATTCGCTTTATTTGTACAATATTCTGTACTAAATTCTTAATGGTTTAAACCATTGTTCCCGGGACAGAAGATAGGGTCCACAATAAGTGAGACCATCTCACGAAAGGGTAATTATTGTACATGGGTCTGTACATACATGTATGTAAGAATGTGGAAAAAAATTCCCCAGAAAACATATTTTAATATATGTGTCCACTGGATAAAAGAAATGAAAAAAAAATATTGTTATGAATGTTAAAAAAGGCAAGAGTCGGGCCACTTTAGTCAGTCTGTCGGGAGATTGCAACCAAACAACTTGTTCAAGTTTTACAAAATTGAAATATATACAATATATATACAATATATATAAAAATATTCATGAATCAATATGAACCACTTGACTAGAAAAAAATTAACTTAATATTTTAAGTGAAACATGTGAAAATAACGAACATAAATCAAGATCAAAAGTTCATTATACAATACAAAATAGGAGCAGAGCAAACACGGACTTCCAAAACATTAGAAGTGGGATCAGGCGCCATGGAGGAGTAAGCGTCCCCTGTCCACCGTTCAGACCTGCCGTGTGCTCCTTGTCATGATGGATAAATAACGGGAAAATCCGTCGTCAGTTCATTATATAAATAATGAACTAACAATATGTATGAAAAACGTCTGTCAGCATTTGACTCAATGATAAACACTTGCTGATAATATAAGTATCGACCATAGAATTTAATTACAGAATGATGACTTAAAACAAAACAGTTGAAATTCTATTCCAGCAACCTGTTTATCAATAATATACATCGTTTTATAAATTGTTCATACGTAAAGCATGCTCTTGCGTATCGAATCAACTGAGATATAAATTCGGTACAGCAGGTGGTGAAGATATATTGCTGCATAAGTAAGGGAAGTTGACGATTACCTAGTCGTTATATAACCATTAACGTCTTTTTCAAGTAAAATATCAAAATATGAAACAGATGTGTCAGACTCTGTGGTATCTTTTATCTCAAGCTCACTAGGGTATATCGGATCGACATAAGAATGGAAATAACCATTATTAATTGACAATACGTTATCGATACTAGTATATCGAAATGTGAAGTTGTGAAGACCATATAGCAAGTGTTTTCTTATTTTCACATATAAGATTTTCAGTGAACAAATCCTAGATCTGCTTCATATGCATCTGAGTAGGCAACATGTCTGAGAAAGAGAGATTAATTTTACATACGTCAACTTGGAAAATAGCTATGTTGATCAAACAAGAATTCTAAAAGAAAAACTTCATATCCCACGTGCGCATGGCTTCCAGCATACAAGTTGCAACTTATATTGGATTGCAGCTTTTAAATTCATTTATGTTGGCATGCAATTTATCTATGTTAATTGGCATATTACGTTGTATATATTGACATTTTAATCCTTAATAGGACTATTTGTATTTTAATTCAAAAGTGACTGTTAATAAAGTGAGCTCTAAACACTGCACACTAAATGATAGTTTTATGCAGTTGTAGAGTGATCTGCACGCCCTTATATAGGAAAATGGTAATTTGTAATTAATTTGTACACCTTTTTTTTTATAGATTTGAATATTCCTAGCTGTATATTACACTTTGTGCATGTAAAGATAAGTAAATAATGTTACTCATAAAACAACAGCGATTACTTCTCAATGCTGTCAATTGTCTTTGAACATTTTTCCTGAGGATATAAGGCAGGTGCCTTATGTTGACAATTAATCAATAGTTCCAATATGTATACCTTTATACTAGTATATTTTTCTCCAAGTCAAAAAAATGCACTTTTCATTGGTGTTAAGAGCTTCCTCGAGTACACATTCTGGGATATCATTTAATTTGATTTGAAAACATCACTTTAAGATTTATTTTATTTTTCAAAATCATGCCTGCATGTTAACACCTCATTGCACATACAGTTGTCATATTTTTAAAACCCGAGTAAGCTCTTTGTGGTTACCTAACATGCTATCTAAAAACTAGGTCATACGTAGATAACACCAAAAGATGGCTGCCAGTGACAAGCAAAAATATCCACTAGGCTCTCCACAAGAGCACATAAAAATGTGTGAATCCCACGATTTGCGGATTGATATGATATGTGAGGACTGTGATGAATTTATCTGTTCCAAGTGTGCCAAAACAGATCATAGAGATCATAGCTGTAATACCATACCGAAGGCAGCCGACCTAAGAAGGAAAGGTCTACAAAAATGTCTGAATAAGGTCAAAGGAGAAGATTTGCATGGCATTGACGAGAAGATAGAGAAAGTGTCAAAACAGATTAAAAGAAATAAGGAAGTATGCGACGCTGAGATTAAAAAGCTAGAGAAGCATTGTGATGAGATAATAGCCAGGCTAGTAGAACACAAAAGACGTACAAAAATATCTTTAAAAGACAATCTGGTCAAAGAAAACGATCAATTGAGGAAAAGAAAACGGGTATTAGAAAAGAAGAGAAAGGACGTTTTTGACTCATTGAATTTCATAGAGAAAAACAACAGTACCATGTCAGATTACAGCTTGATTGACAACCAAAGAGAACTTACAAAAATGATGTCTGAATTGGGGCTTCAAACAAAAAACTGCGAATATTCACTGAGGTTTACAAGAGGGGAAATCAAGGACGATTTGCTCGAATCTTTGGTTGGAAAGATTTCGGACCTGGACGATATTGGCTTGGCTCAAATAAACTCATTTCAATATGGAAATAATTTGATATTTTCAATGCAGGCATACAGTGAAGATCTTTGTTATTTAAGAGAACATACGTCGAAATATACAGAACAAGTGAACATGGAAGGTGATATAAAACATAGATTTATAAGCATTACATTTGACATGTGTGTTACTGATAGCAGTGCTGTTTATTTCACTGATTTTAGTAACAATTTTATCAGCTGTCTGTCACCATCAGGATCTGTCTCTACAGTAGTCAGTACAGATCCACTGGTACCAGATGGAATCTGTCAGTCAGTGGACGGTGGACTTCTTATAACTTTAGTAGACGAAAAATCGGATCTTTTCAAATTAGACTCAAACAGCAGACGGTTGGTGAGACATATCACATTAACCAGTGACGTCATCCATGAGTACGATCACTTTATCCATGAGGATGGTCAGACTGGACTGTTTACATTTCCATACAGAGTCACACAGAACAGTAACCGTGATATCTGTGTAGTGAACACTACAAGCCTTAAAACAGCTGAACTAGTGATTATGTCTCCCTCTGGTCGTATGAAGGCTATCTACCGTGGACAGAATTTGCCGCATATCTTTAGCCCAACTGATGTAGTTTGTGACTCCCTCTGTAATATCCTTGTTACTGACCCACTTAACAACCAGATCCATCTACTGAGTCCTGATGGGGAGTTCTTGAAGTTCTTACTGACAGAGAATCAAGTGAAAAGTCCATGCTGTTTATCAATCCACAAATCTACTCTGTGGGTCGGACACGATGATGGATTTGTCAAAGTTTTTCGGTACAAATATGCTAAGCAATGACAAATAAACATGATATTTTATATTGCAGAAGCATATCCTTAAGGAGAGACGAGACGATCCTCAATAATATATATAATTGTTTCAAGATTTTCTCATTGAAGAATGACTACTTTTATATATTTGCTCACAAAAAATTTAAGTATATAAAGGGTGTTTAGAAAGTTCATTCCATATTTTTCTTTTAATTTTTAAAAGAAATGCGATCAGAAGATATTTTATTCCAATTACACATCAAATTTACAGTTTTCGTCGTCAAATGTGTAAAATTATGGGATTCCCCTTATAATAATAAATAATAATTCATTAAAAAAAATAGTAAATATAATCATTTTTTTATGTTATTGCATTTCCCCATAGTCAATCAATGTTTTGAATTTGTGGAAAAAAGTAAAACTTTAAATTCGAATCACGATTTTTATATGAGATTTTCCCTTCAATTATCATGATATGGATCATGAGAAATTTTTAGTTGTACTGGAAGTAATTAGTTGTCTTACACCTATAACACCGTGTAGTAGGGCACATATGGGGTTTCGGTTAAGTAACATATGGGGTTTCAACTCCGAAGTGGTGATTTTTTGCATTTGGAAAATATATTACAATTTATGATATTTCATGTTTACAGAGTCCATTGTTGCTACTGAAAAGGTTTAAAATGTCTTTTGTTGAATCAGTACGGGGAGGGCAGGTATTAAAACAGTTTATGTCTGCGCAGAAAAATTAGGGATGGCGCATATTTGTGACACATATTTAGCACACAGGTCAAAACATCCTTTCAAATACTATGCAAAAATTATCAATTCGGTGAAAAATTTCAAAGTGACAAACCTAGCTATAAAGGAACAAAAGTAAATTATCCTTTTTTTTCATTTAAAATGATCAGCATGTTTATCACTCGGGTGCTTTAAAGATGTTAATTTTCATATGGAAGAAAAATCCTATAACTTCTTACTAGAAATGAATTGCTATAAATCTAAAGCACAGTCTTGTGATTCTGTCCACAGGTACTTGTGGACAGGAAGTCATACCCTGGTCTTATAAATAAAAAAGAAAAGTTTTCTATTTTATAATACCAGGGTATGACTTTTTTGTAGTAGTAAATCGTCAAATCTATGTTATTTTCTGAATCTTTCATATGGAATACGTTGTAAATAAGTATTAGAAACATAATTCATGACAAAAAAAAGAAAAAAAATATTTTGACCAGGGGTGTATATATGGTGGGGGGGGGGTCCTGTCCACAATACCTGAAATTTTGTCTTTACTCGAAAATCCATCTCTTTAGTTAAGCACTACTCTGAAATTTTTGAAAATATTTCATCATGGAATGTACTTTCTTAACACCCTTTACCTTACCAGACATTTGTGCGAGATACCAGAGGATAGCATTTCTTATATTATTCTTTAGAAAGAAAAACTATGTTTGCAAAAAAAAAAAATTACAGTTTTACTGTATTAATTTTTTTAAAAAACAATTTGAAACCAGTTTAGAAATAAAGTTATTAAAATTTTGTACATTTTTCATACATTATGCAGATATACAAAACAGATACATGTATTCAGTATGGGGAACGCATTGTCTCACCCATTAAATTTTAACACCACAGTTATTGTTTCAGATTGTGATTTTTTTTGTCCCCCGCTTTCGCGAAAGCGAGGGGACATTAAATCTCATTCGTCTGTCCGTCAGTCTGTCAGTCTGTCCGTCTGTCCGTCCGTCACAAAAACTTTAACCTTGCCCATAACTTTTGATTTCGTGGAGCTATGACTTTCATATTTCACATATGTATTCCTTGTGATAAGACCTTTCTTTGGGTACCACCAAATTTGACCTTTTGACCTTGACCTTATAGTTTGACCCACTTTTACACAAAAAAATTCATACTTTTACTTTGGCCATAACTTTTTAATCGTAGATACAAGGACTTTTATATTTCACATATATATTCTTTGTGACAAGACCTTTCATTGGATACCAACAACTTTGACCTTTTGACCTTGACCTTGGAGATTTCCGAACTTATGAAAAAACTTTAACCTTGACCATAACTTTTGAACGATACGGACTAGGGCTTTCATACTTCATATATGTAATCCTTGTGAGAAGGCCTTTCATTGCATACCAAGAACTTTGACCCATTTACCTTGACCTTGGAGTTTGACCTACTTTTAAAAAACTATGACCTTTGCCATAACTTTTGAACAGTAGATACTAGGAATTTCATATTTCACATATGTATTCTTTGTGGCAAGACCTTTCATTTGATATCAACAACCTTGACCTTTTGAAGTTGACCTTGGAGAATTTTTGTTCTTATGAAAAAACTTTAACCTTTACCATAACTTTTGAATGGCAAGGGCTGGGGCTTCCATACTTCACATATGTATTCCTTGTGAGAAGACATTTGATCAGATACCAAATACTTTAACCCTTTGACCTTGACCTTGGAGTTCAGTGATGATTTCTAAATAAATGATATATGATAGGTTGTTCATATTACACATAATATGTCATTAAAAATGACATCTCACCCACAAAGACACCGAAAGCGGGGGACCACAATTCCTTGAATTTGCTTGTTTTTACAAAAGGGGAGTTGAACTGATCTAGAACACGTTAAAATAATCTTATTGAAATAAAGAAAAAACACCCATTGATGAACTTTCATATATTAAGAAATATATTCAAGTATCTCATTAGACAGCTGAACGGCACAGATTGAAACGAATTACAAGAAAAGTGGCCCACATATGCATGATATTCATTTTTTTCTGTGTCTGAGGTCAATATCAATTGCCATGAGTCCTTATAACCACATATTGACCGTTCACTGAAGTCCATAATAGTTATATTATATAATCACTCAAAGTGAATGCACTAACACAGTCCTAACTAAACAGACTTGGCTGTCATTACGTCACGATGGTTAAAAACACGCTTCTCATACTATGACGTCACGTTTTACGTAACTTCAGTGCAACTGAACGCTGTGTCGTGCGTTATCATTTTCCGCCCACGCGCTTTCGCGTCGTTATTACAAAAGGAGGAATATCACGTGATGTCCTTTCAGCCAATGAAAATTACGAAAATAATTTTCTTATATAATATATGAAGATAACGAACAGTATTCTAGCCCAAAAGTACATAAAACAATACAAAATAGGAGCAGAACAAACTCGGACCTCCAAAACATCAGAGGTGGGATCTGGTGACATGGAGGAGTAAGCATCCCCTACCGACCGTTCACACCGCCATGTGCTCCTTGTCATGATCAAGAATAACGGAAAAATCCGTTGTCAATTCGTTGTGTAAAGAATCGCCTAACAATTGGTATGAAACAAAACACATTGCAAATATATGTAAACAATGAAATGTCAACATATAGCCAAGGTATATCCAATTTTAAGTAATTCGGTGTAAACCCTTTGTTCAAGGTCGCTTCAAGATGCTGCACGAACTTGGTCTAATTTACTTTTCACTTTATGCACCATGAAACCCTCAAGATATATCGAATTTTATAATACCATAAAATCACATATTTTCATGGGGTCACATTTTTTAGGTTTGATGAAAAATATTGGTTTGTTGGGGGTTGATTTCGTTTTTGGAGAAGCGTTGAGTAGAAATGCACATGAAAGTTTCACATGTCCAGGTGTTCATAAATTTGTGGTTCTCTCCATACCTTGAAATGGAAATCAAACCCTCACGCAATAAGTGATTTCACAGCTATTACATGAAACATAGGGAAAAAACGGAAAGCATTCAAAATCAAAAGTCTTTAATATTAGAAATATACTAAATTATGTAATTCCCTATATAAGTGAGATTGTTTTAATCGTTCGAAAAATATATATTAAGAACAAAACTTACCGGTAAACAAATAAGAATTATCTTTGCAAGAAAAACTTAAGGGTTCATGATTAGTGAATTAGTGTCTGAATAATTAGAATTTACATCTGTATTTAAGTCTTGACTACAGAATGTTTTAATTTTCTTGATCAATACAAAGAGCATACAGCGGATATGACCGGCTAACAGGGATTTTATACTCCTTTAAGGCATCTGATTCAATCTCTGGTGTTCCCAGGAGTCAATAATTTATGTCCTTTTACATATGTATTGGAAATTATTAGATCGATCATTGCTATTTACTAGTATATCTTAACCCTTAATCTTATCTCTGATGGTCTAATCTACAAAAATTACACTTCATACAACCATTTCCAAACAATATGTTGTCCTGCTTTTCGGATATCAAGGACAGCTGCTAAATCAATAAATATAGAACTTGTAAATTTCCTTGTCATTTGTCATTTGAAAAATTGTTTAAAAAACCTTTCTGATTGTACACACAATTAAGTCTTCCGAAGTTGATATAAAAAATACTTGAGTTTCTGGAAATCAAGTCTTTTAAATATAGCTGATGGAGTTCATTGGTACGTGTACCAATCGCCCGACTTTTTTTTCATTTTCATATTTGTAGATAAAAAAGACTTCGCCTTCTTTGCAATCCTAAACTCGACATTTAGATATACACGAAATATATGGAGATTCCGAACAGTATTAAAGCTCAAAAGCTCAAACTTAAACAATACAAAATAGGAGCAGAGCAATCACAGACCTCCAAAACACCAGAGGTGGGATCGGGTGACATGTATCAATTTTTATCAATAAATAGTAATAACCCCAGGTCATATGTAGACTCAATATATCCCAGTGAATTTTAGATAAAAGATATACATATAGGATCGCACATGATTTGTAGATGGATGTGATTTTTATCCAACGAGTTGTGTGTTTTATATCCCCGAACCTTGGCGAGGGCCCGCGGTGATAAAAACATACAACTACAAATGTGAGATTCTTATTATACCATGTTTTTACATTTTGTTTTATACACCACAATCAATGTTTTGTCTGTTTTTATATAGGACTACACTTTATTAAACTTCATTACGCTAACGCAAAACCCATTGTGACGTCATAACTGTGGTATATG